GGGGGGGGGGTGCTGCTGACATCTAACGGGAAGAGGCCAAGGATGCTTGGAAATGCCCTACAATGCCCAGGACAGCCCCACAACAAAGAACACCAGGTCCAAAATGTCATCAGTGCTGAGAAGCCCTGGGTCAGACTCACGGTCATGGTGAACACAGAGTACATCCTAGTAACTTTCATTTCTTTTTCCCTCAAGTATTTTTCGAAACGGCTTTTAAATCGCATTTTCAGAGCTCCTGGAGGTGAATTTTTTTAAGAGGTGGGGGCACTACTGATGTGTCAGCAGGACCTTTTTGGAAAAAGCAGATTAGAGTACAGGGAAAAGTGGGAGCAAAACACATTGTCTTCCTGCACAGTGAGCCCACGCCCCATCTCCCTGCACAGTGAGCCCACGCCCCATCTCCCTGCACAGTGAGCCCACGCCCCATCTCCCTGCACAGTGAGCCCACGCCCCATCTTCCTGCACAGTGAGCCCAGGCCCCATCTTCCTGCACAGTGAGCCCACGCCCCATCTTTCTGCACAGTGAGCCCACGCCCCATCTCCCTGCACAGTGAGCCCACGCCCCATCTCCCTGCACAGTGAGCCCACGCCCCTCTTGAATCTGTAAAGCAAATGGCTGTGAAAGGCTGGAGCTATTTATAGACAGAAGATGACTTTCGTCAGCTCAGTCACCGGCCCTGCGCTGTGCGGCTGCTACGGGCGGGCTCTGGCTCTAGAAGCCCACTGGCCGCATCTGAGGGGGACACACAGGACCTGACTGCACAGTGACGTCCCCTCTCGATGTAAAGGCGACTCTGACAGAAGATTTGGGGATGCCAAAGATGCCGTAATGTCCCAAATTTTATACCTGCCACACAGCAGAGGGAAACGAAGCTGTCCCTTTCTGCCAGTTGCTGATTCTGATGTTCCTGTCTCTTGTGTTCTCTGGGACAGCCTCTGGGCTAAGAGAAGAGGCTGCTGTAGCTTTTCTGAATAAAATTCAGAAATGCCACAAACTCCCTAAGTACCTGCCAACAGGGCTCTTCCTCCTTTGCACCTGCCCACGTGTTCGAATGTCTGTAGCCACAGCCTTCTCCAGCTTACCCCTGACCGGCTTGGCCGGTCTGTACCAAGTCATTGTGTCTNTGTAGCCACAGCCTTCGCCAGCTTACCCCTGACCGGCTTGGCTGGTCTGTACCAAGTCATTCTGTCCTTTCACACCTCACGGCCATATGGGTCCCCCCTTTTTGCAAGAAGAGGCAAGAAGGAGGGATTTCCACCAAAGGCACCAGCAGCTTGGTTCCCTGGGACTGATGGGTTCTGTCCTCATTTTAAAAGGGGACCTCTTGGCTCCCGAGACATGGCCTCTGGACTCCTCAGGCTCCCTCAGTGGCTCTGAGAAAACCTGGGGGAGGTGCAGCCGGGAGGGGACACACTGTGAGGAGGCTGCCCATGGGGCGACCACGCCACCCTGCAGGGTTACTGCTGGGTTTCCAACCCGGGGGTCAGGGGTTCCAGTGACTCGTCACCAGGTCTGTGTCTACTGAGGAGCAACAGGTTAGACAAGGAGCCTGGAGGAGCCCCAGATAAATCAAAAGTACTAGCTGGTGGGTTACCCTGACTCTTCAGAGCTGCTGCGCCCACAAGGCCCACTCGTGGTACAGGCTTAATTTCAGGTCCATTCCGCTCATCTAGCAACATTTCCCTTAGATTTGCTTCAAGGAGCCTATGCCGGGAGCAGGAGAAGGTGCTTAAAAATGTGCATACAAATCTAAAAGCTTTTTCTAGAAATTCCAGCCTCCTGCCTTTCAGCCCAAATAATTACATACTTTAAACTCTTTAAAAGCCTTGTTTCCTCAAACAGATTCAATACCTTGAAACTTGCTGGAAAAACCGTTGCACTACAGGCTCTTACAAAGAGTTGGGTGCTATAGGGTTATGCATTTTAACTACTTTTCCCTTAGAATTAAAAGATAATTTACATTAAAGTAGCATAATGATGCATTAATTCAACATGACGTTTCACAAGACACTTCACTGAGACACTTAGAATGAGTTGCTCCTGGGGGTATTCTGTAGTTCCTCTAAATATAGTTCAAGTGTTTATTAATATGTTTCTATCTCATAATGTTTGGACATTTTCATTCTGGCGTTTCTTACTCTAGGACTTTCTGTCTCCTGCATGGCTCGTCTGTGTCAATTAGAGCTCCCCTCAGGCTTAGGTGGGCACTTAAGGGGGTATGTAGAAAGGTTTATCCCACGAAACTCTCCGAAACCCTTGCCAGGAGCCCCTGAGACAGAGCCAGCGTCTTCCTTTGGCTGAACCCATCTGTCCCACTTTCCTTCTCACTTAGGGGCCCGGACATGCCACAGGGGCTCCCTGCTCTCACATTCATACACGCCAGGCCTGTGCCCCCTTAGATGCCAGAGCAGCCAGCCAGAGCTTTTGTAGGCTTGTCCTCATGCGCTGGGAGAAGTTTCACCCACATACAAGCACAGAGCATTAAGGAATTCCCCTGGCTCAGACCGGCCAGGCTGCCACAGCGCAGCCCTGCAGGCGGTGTGGGCACCTCGCCCGCCCGAGGGGAAATGCGAGTCTCTCAGCACCCGGAGGGCGCGCTGGGGCGGGGGCACAGGGCCCTAACGGCTGACACCACCTGCCACGTGGGTGCAATGTCAACTCAAGCTAAAAGTATGACTTTAAAAGGAGACATGTTTTCAAAATGTGTTCTCCTAAGGGAAAGCGTAGTCACTGCATTCTCAAGGGGGGCCTGAGCAGGAAGACAGTGCCAGATGGAGTCTTGCCCCTCCCCTGCCTCCGCTCGCCTCCCAGCCCCCACTGGGTGGCCTCTGGTTGGGAGACCCCGACCGGGCTGCCCTGCAGTCACTATGGCAACAGTGCACACACAGTCGGTTTGGGGATCCTTGCTTAGAGGGCCCAACTCGGTAGCCAAAACATAAGCAGCAGCGGGACAGCTTCAGGCGGGTTTCTGTTTCAAGACTCTTTCCAGGACCAAGAACAGCTGTTTACTTGGGCATAGGGTCTTATATGGAACAAGCAGCTACACTTTCATCTGCAACCAGCTGAGCCAGTTTGAAAGTGCGTCTCACCTCCAGCATCAGCTGCGTGAACTCTTCATCGCTGAGGAAGGAAGGCTTCCAGTCCTGTTGAATATCACAGAAGTCCGTTTGTGCTGAGACTTCTAAAAACACACAAATAAGCTTTTATATCCAAAGGCACCCAGGCACTGGGGTTAACAAATGAAGCACAAGTCACGTCTATGAAACTCCATGCAATCCTCCGTGTCGTTTAATGAAAGAAGTCAATATAAGCACATACATTACCCTGGTTGCCAAGGACTGGGAACTTTGAATGTAATGGGCCTAAAAACACCTCTTAATGTTTTCACACCCATTTAATGAGGCTTCTGGGAGGAGAGTACCCCACCCTTCCGTGGGCGCAGTGCCTGCTGCCAGCAGGTGGCACAGTGCCCTTGAACTGCCACTTGACAAAGCCCATCATCAGCAGCTGGAGTTGTCAAGGCAACAGGAGCAGACTGGCCTGGTGGGACATTCTTGAGCTGCTTTTTAAAAATTTTGGTCAAAGAAGTTTAGACATGTGATTTTCAAAATTCTAGAAACAGGTTAGGCATGTGGTATATAACTGACTGCGTCTCTGCAGGATGTAATGTATTCTTAGCATTTCCTGGCACCCGAGTGTAAGGTGCGATACAAACGCATGTCACTGAATTGCTTTTAAAGCCAGGATTTATTCTTCTCAAACTTTCCTGGGTTAATCTATACTTTGGTTCTGTAACTACCTTGTACTGATGGTATTATTCATGTCAGTAAATTCAGTGGTCATTGGTTGACGCAGAATATCCTTAAATATGCTGCTTCTTCAGCATTTTTGAAAGTGTTTGCTTCATTACTAAAATGTCTCCAGTAAGGTTATTACCGACAGCGCACCTGCTACATTGGGCGCCCTCGCTGTCCCTCCAGCTTCCCCTCCACCCTTCGCCAACGCTTTGCTTCACTTTACACAGTAAGAGGTTTTGTTAGGGATTCTTTTCTTGGTGCTAAGAACAACTGAAGTACCTCTGATTTATCTCCTACCTCCAAGGAAAAAACTAACGCGTTCAACAACTTCCTGGAAAATGCAAACTGCTCAGACAGATAATCTATAAACTGTAAATTAGGAGAAACATCGGAGGTTCTCCTCTGACCTGGGTTGTTGGTGGCCTTGCTTATGTGCAGCGTGGAGACTGCATCCTGCCCTGTGAGTGGATGGATCTGAGTGAATTCAGCGGTTACACGTGAATGAAGTGATGTGAGGGGCTCAGTGACCTGTGACTATAGTCCTTCTGAGCTCCATCACCCAGTGACCTCGCAATGCCCAGATGGTTTCTTCCTTTGAGATTTTGGAAAGAACAAGTTGCTGCCACCAATGGGGCCAGAGGTTAAATGCACCCTAGAAAGTAGAGGCCGGGCCAGTGTTCATTCTGGGGTGCCGGCTGAGGCAAGGAAGACAGGGTGAAGCTCTCAGGTCCTCAAACAAATGAATGCCACAGTTTGACCACTTAGAAGAAAAATGGACCGAGGATATGCTAATAAACTAGTCCCATAAGTGCCCTCCCCCTTTCTCAACTCATCTGTGAAATTATTTTGACCATTAGGATCACACTGTAAATTAACTGTCCAGAAGAGTCTACTCGTCAGTCCAGATTTAATTTAGGGGGAAGTCCATTCAACTGAATGGTAAAGGAACAGGAAAGGCCCATTTCTTCTACACAAGTAACTTTCAGGCCAGTCGGAGTGGCTGGGTACTTTCTAAACAACAGCATGACAAAGCTGGAAGAAGATACTTCCCTCACTTGGTATTTCAATAATTTGATTATAGTTCTTAGAAGAAGTGAAGGCTCAGTGTATAGCATAATATGTCTCAAAGCAAGCAAAAAATATTAAGTGGGAAATAAAATTCAGTGTTACAATCATGTATCCACTGGCATCTGAGGTGACCAGTATCATAAGCTACAGGCAGCCGGGCAGGGTACCGAGGAGGTGTGGTCACAGTGGGTTCCAGCAGGGGAATCAAAACCGCCTGGAAGCAATTTTGCAGAAAAACAATGCAACTAACAGCTACCCCCCAATTCCCTGTAGTGTCAGGGGGTAGCTGTGCTTGGAGCGCTCACCTCCTGACTGCTCTGAGGATGAGCACTGAGGAGCAGTGTATCTCTGCCTGTATGTGGTCAAAGAAAAGCCTGGAAAATGGGGCAAAAACTCTCTCCCGGGCTGGGTGAAGCGGACCCTGCCCGACAGGGACATTTCTCCTGTCCTGCAGCCTCTCCACCGCCTGCCCGCGCACCAAGGCAAACACTGAAGCGGCAGCGATGAGGCGCGGGACTGGCTGTCGGGGGAAAACGACACTGAATCAGCCGGAGACTCAAGCAGGACGGGGACGTGTGCCGGCCTCACGGGCCCTGCAGGGAGCGTTTAGAGGGATGTGCACCAGGAGCGTCCAGTGCACCTGGTTCCACAGTTTAGGGGCCTTTCTCTTCTATGGATAATGTCTGCACACAACTGCTCTGCAGAGGGACGTGGCCAGACCCTCACTTTAGCTCCAATAACTCCAAAGGGAACACGCAGGCTTTGCAGAATCAGGGTTTACCTCGCAAGCTGAGAAAATGGGGATGTTTGAAAAATGAATGAGAAAAGAGCGAAGTAATTATAACTATGCCCGGACCGATCATCTTTCCTTCCTCATGACGTGGCCTCCCTTTAGCATGAAGGCAGAAAGCAGGTCTAAACCTGCCGCTCAGCCCTGGCTGCGCGCTGGGATCACCCCGGGGTCGTCAACACCACGGAGGCCGGGCCCGGCCCAGGGGAGCACTGCTCGAAAGCTTTCCGTGCCCACAGCAGGCAGTCCCGACTCGTAGTGTTTGCTCTCTTTTGAGGTGTAAGTGCTCCCACAGCGGAGCCGGCTCCCGCTCTCCACTGTGGTTCCACCCCTAAAAGCCCTGATCATGGATCTGTGAGGTGTGGCCCAGTTATACGTGTTTTTAAAAGCTCCTCAGGTGAGTCTAGTGGGCAGCAAGCTTGAGGACCAGTAACTAAATGGCCACCCTAATGAACCGCTACAGTGTAGCTATGATACAAATATCTGTAGGAGCCCACAAATCACCTCCTGAGGAGGAGCAGGGTGGAGTAGTGTTAAGAACTTGGGCTCTGGCCCAGCCGGCGTGGCTCAGCTGTTCAGCGTCGACCTAGGATCCAGGAGATCTCAGTTCGATTCCCGGTCAGGGCACATGCCCGGGTTGCAGGCTCGATCCCCAGTTGGGGGTGTGCAGGAGGCAGCCGATTAATGACTCTGATAACTGATGTTTCTCTCTCTCTCTCCCTCGCCCTTCCTCTTTCTGAAATCAATAAAGGTATATTAAAAAGAAGAAGAAGAAAAAAAAAAGAACTTGGGCTCTGGAGGTAGACTGCCTGGCGTAAGTTCGGCACTGTCCTGGCCATCTGCACTACCTCTGTGCCTTGGTTGCCTCATCTGTGAAATGGCACTAACTCAAGCAGCGTGTGAATCTCAGATGCACTGCGAAACAGCCCTGAGAACGGCGCTTGCCTGGCTCATGGTGAGCCCTGAGTAAATGCCGATCATGTGATTCTCTACCCTGTCGCAGATGCCTGTGGAGTTCATGTCCATTTGGATTATCAGTAAAGTTATAGTTTGTTTTTGTTTTTTGCTTGAATCCAAATTTTGTTTCAACCGCTATATTTCTCCATAAAATCTGCCATGGATTTTCTGTTTTCTTTTGAATATGAGCTCACAGAGGATAAGTGGGATCCTGAGTGATCCTGGTTGCATTTAAGTGCACTGTGCAGAGTAGTCAGTCCCATGAAAAAGGCGAGACGAAGACACGAGCTCCTGGTGTTAGAAGGCTGCATTTCTGCTGATTGATCCTTTCAGGGCCTAGATCTGACAATTCTGTAATTCCACAGCCAGCAGAGCCCTGCATAAATGCCACACTGATGAACTTGATCCCAGCTGTCCTATTTAACAGCTGTCTTGCCTTTCGGTGGCACTGACCTAGTTTGAGTAATTTGCACACAATTTCTTGGTAATCAAACCAACCTGCTATTTCACTTGGGCAAATCATTATTGCAGAAGTGTACCCATTCCGATTAGCTCCTGGGGCCGTCAAGTACTGTGACACTGTACTCCAATCCTGCCTGGCTGCTCTTCCCCGACTTTCACCAAAAGCAATGAACATATTCTTTACTCTCCCCTGGGCAGCTTTGGAAAAAACAAGGAGGACATATCATTACTGTCCCAGTTTTAATAGGCATATGCAATTATTAGGAAATAATAAAAGAATAACAAATATAATGAAACTTTCTCAGTTATGCTCTCTTCTGTGAAATACCTTGTCGAGGAAAATGTTCACTGGAAGAGAAACATCATCATAAACACAGAAGAACTGTAATGATCTCTCAATAACCTGACGTTTCTGACTTTGTTATGTATGGTGTCATGGGTAAGGAAAGAGAATTCTGCTCTTTTTGATTGTTAATAACTATTCCCCTTTTTGGCACCACCCAGAGGTAAATGCATGGCAGGGTGGTCAGTGCTATGGGGAAAAAGGGTTTAAAGGAGAGTAAAAGGCAGAGAGGATGATTTGAGAAACACATAAATTCAAGGGTGGATTCAAGTGGTAAACTCATAATGGAATAGTATACAGCACTGAAAACGAACTAGCCATAGCACCAGAAGAACACACATCAGTCTTACAGACGTCAGGGTCCTAATGTGTAACAGCATCTGAATAAGGTCCCAACAGGCAAAGCCAACCTCTGTATCAGAGGTCAAAACAGAGATGACCCTTGAGGAAAGCAGAGGCAGACAGGAAGAAAGGAGCACCTACTGGGGAAGCGTCTTTTCCTTGACCTGGGTGTTGGTTTCCCAGTTGTATTCACTTTGTGATAACAAATTCAACTGTACAGTTATGATTTGTGTATTATCTGTATGTATGTTATACTTTTATAAAGTGTTAAATGCTTTAAAAAAATGAAGCTCTGGGATAACTGGATATTCACATGCAAAAAGCTGAATTTTGACTCTCTACCTCAGTCCATACATAAAAATGAACTCAAAATGGATTAAATGCCTAAATGATCAACTTATAGCTTATATCTAAATGCTTAC